TCTTTCATAGATGCAGACCAAGGATGGAGTGGAAGTCCCGAGGTTGCTACTTCGAGTACACCATTCTATTCAGGCCATCAGAAAGAACCTAGTTCTAATCTGATGATAACGGGCAATCCTAGTGATCCCGGAGTTACTATTGACAGAGCGCCACAGCAGCAGCAAGTTCCCTCTAGCCACCACGATGATCGAATGCATGACGAACTGGAAGAAATTCTTGTTCACAACAAGTGGTCTCGGCTATGGACAAATGTGGATGAAATACAGCGAAGAGCCTATCTCAGAGAGCTCCTAGCTAGATGTGCTGCTGATGTGATACTGCTTGATGACAATGAACTCAAGGAAGGAGAAAATTATCAGGAATCTCCCAAGGAGCTGGAATCCATCATCAGACAAACAGCGGCTCGAATGCCGAGGAGTGAAAAGCCTTGGGAGAATATTAATATCAATGCTCCTTTCCAAGAGGAAATCAGAAAGCGTATATGGCGGAAGGATGACAAAGTCAAGGAATTGGACGAATTGAAAATCTGTGGACTTAATCATCTGAGAGGAAAGAACAAGGGCGGTCAATTGTTTCTGCTTAGTCATCATTACATGGGGAAACAGAGAGAAGTATGGCAACATGAACTACAAACCGCAAAAGACCCAGTATGGAGTATACTAAATGTAGCCGAAATAAATTATCAAGACATCCCACTCTCTGTTTACCGCCTGCAACGCTCCGACGGGACTGAATTTACCTGCAAGGAAAATGACCTTTATATGTTAAAGATGGATGACATCTATCATATGTATCTAGCCTTCCAGGAAATTCCAGTCACCTGGGACAAATCTACACAAGAGGGATTCAAGGCACTCAAGCGCTTCATGATCAGACAAGGCAAATTCTTTGCTTCCCATGATCTTCAGATGGCCCTAGAAACCAATCTGCCAAAGACAAACCTCTCGAGACCAAAGCTTTACGGGCCAGAACTTGAGAACTATCCAGCCTATTACATCTTCGATCGCCCGTTAGCTATCATCTATCTGAACCACAAAGGTGAGAGGCGTTTGTTGGTGGCAGAAGAAATCAACAAGTATTGTGATGGAACGCTGAAGATCATTAAGGAAAAACTGCAACCTATCAGAAAAGAGTTTGAAGAAAAACAACAGAAGTATGCAGATGCCACAGACGATGAACTAACAGAAGCAACCAGAATTGATAAAATCTTGAAAGCCATCGAGAAACAACTTGACAGAAGAAGGTCTCTCAGAAATTACGAGCATGCACTTAATCTTAGAAAGCATTATTTTAAAGCTCAGAAGTGAAGAAAAGAAGAAGCAAGAACATCTGATCACAAAGGGGGAGATTGTTAGAGATATTTTCATTGTAATTGTGATCAATGTTACTTTGCTAGTTTATAGTTAGCTAGAATAATGAATAGGCCTTTTAAGGCAATTTTGTAATAAAGGTTTTATACCTTTTTAGGTATGGGCCTCCTAGGAAAAGGAGCCCAAATGATTGTAAAACCTACCTTTCCCGTCAGGCTATATATATGCCTTAAGGGAAAGGCTAGGTTAAGCTTTTCGATATTCCTAGTGCCGCAGTGCCTATTCTCGTGATAGAAGTTTTACGCTTAAGTTTCATATCATTCTGTAAACTTCTTCATCACATCAATGGAAAGCTTCATTCCCAGATCTGTCTTCCATACATACATTTTATAGATTAGAAAACAGGGACCTAACAACGCTAAAATTGTTCCATTTTACTTTTTTGGGAAGTCCCACTAAGATTGTCACATACCAAATTTGGTAAAGTTTGTGTGACTCTAAATCATTCTTACTTTATTTTTACTTTTTCAATTCAATATCAACCACATAAACTCCCTTTTCATATATTGAGTAGACAATAAAGAAATGTGCAACGGACGTTTATGGGAGATATATCTCGCATAATATTTCAGGAAGTCTCAAGATCAAGATTCATGACATCGGCTGAAGAGCTGACTTATGTGCACGTATATATGTGAAACCATTATCTGATTGACAATAAAATATCACTAATAACTTTCCATTGTTGTCTACTTTAGTTTCCGAAAAAACGATAAGTAAATTTCAACGAAAGAAAATCCATTTTATTATATTGATGCAAAATGATGAAATATAGGAGTACATTTTTATCATTTCATATTCATCATTTAAGCTAGCCTTTATACTAAAAAAATACTATGAGATGAGTACATTTACTTTAAAAGCACGTCCAATCAAGCCATTTAACCTTCTATAACAAATTATTTTTAATAAAAATAGATTAAAAAATTGATAAATATTATATAATTTGAAAATAATTTAATCATAATATAAAAAATATATAAATTCCAAAGTAGATAAAAAATTACAAAGTTAAAACAAAAACTAAAAATTAGAAAAATGAAAAAATAAATTAAAATAAAGGGGTAAGTGTAGAAAATATAAAATTAAAATCTAATAACTTCTTTAAAAGATGTAGAACACGCAAATAACTCCGAAACTAAAATGAAAGTATAGACCTTGACATTCTTAAGTGTCTACGGTTTTAATTAAATTTCTTCAAATTTTAACAAATTCTTAAAAAATAAAATATACACGCATTATTACATGTAATAATCGGTTAAAAGGCTAGATTGGTCGACTTTATAAAGTGAACGTACTTATATGTTTTTTTAGTATGAAGGTTTAAGTGATGAATTAAAATAATGTATAAAAATCATGATTTTGAGCGATTGACGAATACTCATTAACATTATCATTTCCCTTTTTGATACAAAACGTAACATGAAATTCCAATTTTACCTTTCCTCCTATCTAGAGAATTCAAATGCATCTTTTCTATTTGAAAATTGTACATATTTCTTACTAAAATAAAGTTCATTTATAAAGATGTGACTACTAATTAGAGTAGTAATGAAATCATAGTAACTTATGTTCAATTCTTGAACATAAGTTACCATGACACTACATTGTAGTAACTATTAGTCATATATGTATAAATAAGTTTTATTTTAGTAATATTTTTAAAAAAACTTATCTATTTTCGTAGAGCATGATATATTAAGACCAGATATTCCATCCTAAAAGGTCAACCTGTTAGGGGAGGAGTCCAAAGTCTTATATGGTCTTTTATTGTTTTATAGCTTTTCGGGGTGAGACAAATACTTTAACACGCCTCCTTAGCCCGAACCGGGTTGAATAATATGGGGGTGTATAAATGGGTCAAACAGATCTTTAACAAGTTACTCTTAATCATGAGTATTAAACAAGCATTCAAACTAGCTACAACTGGACCTGATGTCATATTAAGACCTGGTAGGAGGAGTGATCCAAAATTTTATATAATGTCTTATTGTTTTATAGATTTTCAATGTGAAACAAATACTAAACATGGCAACCTACAAATCCATACCAAAGTGGTTACTTTATTTGTAGTCTTTGTACCAAATTGTAACTGTGATGCAGTATTTCTTTAGCCTTTAGTACATATATATATATATATATATATATATATATATATATATATATATATATATATGTAATGATTATTTATACTCCCTCCGTCGTCCCTATACAAAAGCCCTCATTCATTTTACGCATAATTTAAGATAGTGTGATTGTTTGACACTGTTTGACACTGTTTTGCACGGTTTTGTTTTGTAAAAAAAGGACTTTAATTTCGGGGCTGCCCGAAAAAAATATAGGAACTTTATTTAGAGACGGAAGGAGTATTAGGATGTTTTTTTTTGGACTGGAATTTGCTGGTCTGGTCTGGTCTCATCTGGTCTGGTCTGGTCTGGTAAACGTCTGGTCTCTATGTATTTTATAATTACGGAAGTCTGGTCTGGTATGGGATTGAAAACAGTCCAAATGAAAACATCCTTACATTCAGTATTACCAAGAAAAAGTTAATTTTACTTTGGTAACCATTATAAGAGGAAACTTCATGTCAGGCCGGCCTGACGGGCTGCTCCATCCGGCCGAGCCCGTTTGGGCACCTTCCCGGTGGAATTTTTTGATGAAATTTTTTGAGCATGTTCCTCATCAAGTCTAGTTTGTTCATACCAAATTTCAGCTCAAAATTCGATCGGGAAGGCATTCAAATTATTTTTTGAAGTTGACTGCAGTTTTATATGTATATTTTGACGCAGTCAACTTCAAAAAATGATTTGAATGATACTCCATCTCTTCCATCCTCACTTTTTTAAAGTTGAAGCAATTGCAAACACTCTCTAAGTCATACTTAAAGTCAAAATGATACTCCATCTCTTCCATTTTGGTTGTCTTAATTTCTTTTCCTGATTATCCAAAATGAATGTCATGCTTCCTTTTTTGACAATAACTATGTGATCCTTATATACCAATTACTCTACTAAAATTTTAACCACAACTTTTGCTTTTCAACTACTTTATTAATAACCGTGTCAAACTAAAAGAAATAATACTATTAAACCAGATTTGGAGCGCACATTGTTGCGCGACCTAAATAGTAAAGGTGTTTTCCGAGGTCGTGCACTGATCATAACTACTACCTCCGTCCCATTTATATTGGGACGAAAGAGGGTGACACAGTTATTAAGAAAAATGAGTTTGTGTGGTTGATATTAATTGATAAAGTAAGAATAAAATAAGAATGATTTAGAGCCACACAAACCTTGCCAAATATGGTATGAGACAATTTAAGTGGGACTTCCCGAAAAGGTAAAACGGGACAATATAAATGGGACGGAGGGAGTAGTTTATAGTTGGTGTTGTCAATCAAGACAATTATGATGTTTTAAGTTGGAGTGTCTTTAATTCTAGCTCAAACTAGATTAGATTATATCATACTAGATCATATTCTAATAATTGTAAAATACACATATTCATACATCTATGAGATTTGACTAGATCACATCATATGGAATTAAATATACTAAATTTGAGCTCAATTAAAAACTAATTAGATGAAGATGGAAGATTAATGTAATTAAAAGGGTACTTAAGTAAATACCCGAGACAAGAGGCAAATCAATGACTGCATATGGTTTCTCCCAATAGAGTCTCCGACGAAGGCCAGAGACTTGTTCCTGACCATATCCAAGAACTGGTACGGGTCAAACACCGGCAAATCGCAGCCGTCCGGCTGCCACCGCCACTTCATGAACCCGTCGTCGGGCCGCCCGTACTTCATGCAGTTCTGGTGCTCGTGGATCGCCCAGCACGTGGCGTTGGTGTAATACGGAGCCTCCGGGTTCGGAACCCATTCTCCGGCCAAGACGTCGCAGTCGCCGCCGCCTTCGACTTCCATCATCTTGATGATGGTGTCCACATCTCTCACTTCCCCATGGTCAGGCCAGAACAGAGGAAGTAACGTTGTTAAGGATAATAATAAGGTCAAGGCTACAAATGTTGTGGTTCTTTTTGGACATTTTAGTTCCATGGATGGAATAGTAATAATGTGATTTGAGCTGAATGAGCAGCATAATATGGGTTAAAGCTAGAGAGGAAAAAATATTCAGAAGATTACAACACCAATCAAATGCTTAACTTCTTGCTTGCCGGCCGTTAATTAAGGATAGGTGAAAGTGTGAAACATTATTTTTCACTCACATTTCAGTCTATACGGCAGGATCAATCCATGGATAACAATTGTTAAATCTTGAATTATAGCGAGGTATATAAATAGCCTAAACAAACTCTTAAAATGTTTTTATTTGGACATTTTTCGGTCTCAGACTAGAACATTTCAGACCAGACTAAATTAGTCCAGGCTAGACCAGATCGGACCAGATCAGATCACACTTGAACAATTATAAAATACATAGAAACCAGACATTAATTAGACCAGACAAGATCAGACCAGGCACGCAAATTTCAGTTCAATTAACAGCATTCGTAATAAGCTAACCTTAGTCATGGGTACTAGTCAAACAGTCAAATCACAACTAAAATTGGCTCTAATATCATGTTAATATAAAACTCGAGGTTCCATCATAAAAGATCAATCTGTCAACCTACTTGGAGGAGTATTCAATAATCTTATATAGTGTCTTATTGTTTTATAAGAATCCGGTGCATGACAAATACTTTAACAACCATTCTACTCCACACTCAAGTCTCCCTTCAACTTTTAATTTTAATTAAAAAACGCGCATGAACAATGAATATGTTTTTGTTTCAATATTGTCATGTAAATCACGTGACTGAAATGTAACCCGCGTTACTGCAAATGTAATCTCAGGTAGAGACAAATAAAAAGTCTTAGAACTTTGAGTACATTATAGACACTAAAGAAATGTAAGTCACATTTACGGAAAATACAAAAACAATCAAATGCTTAATTTTTTGGTTGTTGGCCGTTAATTAGGGAAGGGTGAAAGTGTGAAACATTATTTTTCACTTACCTTTAAGTCTATACGACAGGAGCGGCCCATAGAGACTAGGGCTAGGTCCAAAAAACCGAAAACTGGGTCAAAATAAATCGAACTTCAAGATTTTAATGTGTCTTTAAGATTGTTTTCAGCTTTGGACTTTAAAAAATTGTGAAAATTGTGATGGCTTCCATTTAAAAAAATAATTTTTAAATTGATCTTAGAATAAGTGTTTGATAGTAAAATTTGGTAGTGTTTAAAATAAAAGTGCTTTTAAAAATGTAAAAATTGACAGTTTTTATAACAAAAAGAATGTTTTAATAGTAATAGAAAAAGTGTGAAACGTATAAAACACTCATCTACCTACTTCCAGACATTAACTTCTAAGCTTTTAATTTAAACAGAATTTTCACTCATTCTATAACAATGTGAGGATCCTGATATGGATGAAAAGAGTTTCTCATTCCAAGAAAATTATCCTCCCATTAAATAGTGGTAAATTCGAACCGCTAAAAACCCAAATTGAATGTTTAAAACTGAACTGAATCGTACTTGTTTGGATGCGGATAATAATAACGTGAACGCTACAAATATTATGGTTCTTTTCGGGCATTTTTGTTCCATGGATGGATTAGTAATACTTTGGTTTGACTGTTTGAGCAGAATAAGCAGCCTAAGCTAATATGGGTTAAAGAGAGAGTAAAGTCGTCGTGGCATTGAAAAAATGTTCCCAAAAGTAACAAGCTAAGGTCATGCTTGACGTAGTAGAATCCGTTCTACAGTTGACATATACTCTTCATCCATCAAAACATTTTGTCAAGTTTCACTCATACACGAATAATAAAATCAAAATTACTTGAATGAAATTTGTACAAAGTAGAGAGAAATAATTCAAATAAGAGTAATCACATATTCATTGATTAAAAAGAAAAGTGACAAAGTTTTTGGAACTTAAAAAAAAGGAAAGATCGACAAAGTTATAAGGTACGAAGGAGGTGACATGTAGCTAGAAGGCGTTTGATAATTCATATTTTTAGTTTATCAATCCAATTTTTTATGAACATAAAACTTTTGAATTCATATGTTGAATTTGTAATAATCAAATTGCTGAAAAATTACTTTAGCAATTTTCATATAATTTTTTCTGTGTTTTTTTTTTAACAATTCACAATATTCAACCGTTTTAGCAAAAATTCCATAAATTTCAACAGATTCAACCAGATTTAGTGTACGAAATAGGCTCATAAATGATAAAGGCATCGGCATGTTCCCTAATCACCAACTCCGATTCATTAGAGATAGGCACGGTTCAAAATGATTATGTGTTAGAGTTATCCAAGTCCAACCCCATTAGTAAAAGGAGTCCGAGACGTTAGAGCTAGGACAATCCTTTGTCCTAATATTGTCGCATTTAAATCGGAACCGAGACAATTCAGGACGTCCTAAAGTAAGTGATGGGTTATGGAACCCATGGCAGTAGAAATCTATGGAGAAGTTGGAGCAAAATTGGTATAATAGTATTTTTAGGGAGTGTGTATTATAAATTAGAATAGAATACTATTTTAAATATACCTATCTTAATAGTTTATTAAGGTAATTGAAGTTCAAAGTATATAGAAATTTATAAACTACATAATAATACTAAATAATAATATATTATTAGACATCCAAAGTAAAACTAACGTATCATTACACTTTTTAATGAATATTTGGGGTAATAAATTTTATACCGGATTAAAAGGATTTTTCACTTTTCAAATTTTTTTTTTTGAAAATTTGATTTTTTTCCTGAATATTCCCGGTAAACAGGCTTCAGGCCAGGCTCAGGCCGAAAAAACAGGCCTTTAACAGGTAATAAGCCAGGCTCAGGCCTATATATTCTAAAACAGGCCCGGACTGTTTAGGCGAAAGCCTGGCCTGGCGTGGCCTGTTTCCACCCCTACCTAAGTGTCTTAAATATACTATTTAAGTGTCTTAATAGTTTATTAAGGTAATAAATTTATACATAAAGTGTCTTAATAGTTTATTAAGGTAATAAATTTGAAAGCTTTTTACCAATATAGAATTAGTAAAACGCTAGTATATGTTTTGGCACAACTTTTGTGTACGCACTATGCACACAAGTATTTCGTCTAAAAATGCAGAAGTTGTCAGTGTGCGCAGATAAGTGCACATTCAAGTATTTATCCATTTTGACATTTTATCTATTTTTATAATTCTATTTATATATTATTAAAATTTATATGTGTTTTATAAAGAAAATACTCAATTCTCCTAACTTATTAAGAAAAGAACTACTACAGGAGGTCAAAGTGGCTAGATTGAATGTGTTTTGAAAGTAAATATGCTTAAGAACCCGTTTAGTTACACTAAAAATGACTGAACTGGCTGATTCTGCTGAAATTTTTGAAGTTCTGGATGAAGTGGCTGGATTGATTGATACTGTTGATTTATGAGAGAACTATATTTAAAATATTACTCCGCTACTTATTAATAAAATAAAAAAATATATATATGAAAAATATCTAAAATGATCCTTTATAGTAACTTCAGCCAATACAGCCAAAAAAGTAACTTCAACCTTACTTTTTCTTATTATTACTCAATTGAGCGCGTGGAATCAAAAGTTACGTGTTTGGTGAAAAAGTTGGCTAATAAGGCTGATAAACCGAAAAACATGGTCACCAAACAGACTCTAAATAAATGAAATTGTTACTTTTTGTATATGGACTCAACTGACATGTTTAAAATAGTAGAACGACCTATTTAGACAATTTTCCATAATATTATTTTCAAGTATAATATAAGAATGACATAACACACTTTTATATCTTCACACATCCCTCTTTTGCCAGTTTACACAAGCAATTCATTTAGAAAATAATTCTGTATAGTCACCCTATTAAATAGTCACTATTAGTAATTTACCTTGAATTGATATAAGTAAACCTTTAAAAATGAATAGTCATTTATGCATTGTGCGGGTTAATTACTATTAAAGCATTTTACGAAAAGTAAGGATTATAACATGGGTTAGTGCGAGACTAAAGTTGCTTTTGGAGGCATTTCCTTTAGCTTGCAACTTCAATTTCGGATGCCATAAGCCTTTTAATGACTTCATAAGCCTTGATAATAAATAAAAGTTAAGGTCATTCATTATCCCGTCTTCGATTGCTATTGATAAAACCTGTTTTAGTCACAGACTCACGGATAGCTCTGCGTGGTTATGTCTATGGTAAGTTGGTAACTAATTGACTAGATTGCAATTTCTCATTTCAAGTGGGGGAGGAAAACCTAATGAGACCCAAAATGTTTTTTTTAAACAGAGCAGACCCAGAATTAGTGATGGATTCGGTTCAGGCCACCCGGCCCGGCACGGGGAAGCAAACTCAAATTTCGAGGTTTGCAAATAACCAACAACATTTTGTAATTTCTAATACAATGATGCACAAAATTTCACTGGTATGACTAACTTACTTGTTGAAGAAAATTTGCCTTATTTGTTTTCTGAAAGTCTTGCTTTGAAAGATTATGCACAAAATTGTATAAATCCTCAATATAGAGGTTATAGTCGCAAAACGGTTAAGAAAGAAATTATAAGGCTTTATAAAGCGGAAAAGGTAAGGTTACAAATTTTTTTTGCAAACTTTGATGGGCGTGTTACTATTTGATCTTACATATGGGAGGATAATTATCATATTTTACATTATTTGGGTCTCTGACTGCACATTATATTGATAATGATTGGAATATGCATAAACGTGTTCTTGCTTTTCGTGAATTTAATGATCGTCACACCGCCGAACATATTTATATTTTGATTGAGCATATTTTAATTGAGTATAATTTGAATGATAAGGTGTTTGCTATTGGTTTTGATAATGCTACTAATAATACTGCTGCTATACCTAGATTGTGTAAACTATGTGGTTCTATTACTTTGATGGGTAGATTTTTTCATCAACGATGTGCATGTCATGTTATAAATTTATGTGTGCAAGACGGTCTAAAAGCATTAGGAGATTCTTTGGAGGTAGTCAAGGGGGATTAGAC